ACAGAGGCAAATTCATATCCGAAATACCATAATCTTAAAAATACATATGTATTCGTATGTATGTATATGGTGTTTTCTATACAAAGAGACTAATTAGCCACTAGAACAACCTTCGAATGATTGTGCTGATTCTTTGCAACTGACAATTTTAAGATCAAGATGTGCATCTTCAGACAAAAATTAATTATGGGAGTCCCATTCATTAAAAACAAACAAACAAACAAACACCCCCCATGTGAACACTTTGAGCTTAACTTATTGGACTTTGGACCAGGCCCTGCCTTAACTTGGGGAATTCTGCAGAATGACCAGTGGCCGGGGTGCTTCTACCTCTGTTGTCTCGCTGGGGCTGTGCAAACCACTGGAACTAAGAAAAACGCTCCTTTGCCCAGACATGTCATTTCACACCCTGGCAGGCAATTAAAATGCAAATTAAAAATGTTAATTAGAACTGTTTCAACATCTACTCTAATTCACAAGATGGGAATTCTGTACAGTGTATGGAGAAAGATGCATTGTTCCTCGGGCAAAACCCTCCCGCCACTCTTGCCCTGGAGTGAGCCGAGCAGAAATAGCTGCTACTTTCTTGAAAACCTGATTGCAGGGGGGAAAAAAAAAAAAAGCGCCAAGGTATGATCCTGATCTCAAACACTGGGATAAATCCAGGGAAGCCAGGGGAGTCACGCTGTGTTGACAAGACCAAGCTCAAGCCGTGTAAAAATACTTACACTGAAAGAAGGTGTGAAAGGGTACCCACCCCCCAACAAAATGTCTGTTACACTCGTTTCACTGTCCCCCCTCCGTCTTTTTTTTTTTTTTTTTTTCAAATCACAGCCAATTGCCGTGTAATGATGAAGACAGACCTGCACCAAGGCAGGGCTCGCCGGCGCTGGACGGCAGCCGGGGATAACTTGCTCTCAGTGCGGGTCTGGGAGGGCAGGAGGAGGCTGTGCCACGGCGCTCGGCCCCCCCAGCACCAGAACTGGGGCTTTATCACGCCAATAGCTCTGTAAAGGCATCCTGGCAGGGCTTCTTTCCACATTAAATATGCAGTTGCTCCACTAAGGCTCATCCCAATACACCCTGATGTTTAAGACAACTTTCTTCCCTTTCCTACTTAAAATCTACCTACATCAAAGATGAAATCCGGATGCTCCCCGAGCTGTGATGAGGTTGTTTTTACAGCTATTTGAGCAGCACGTTATACCCGCTTATTTGAAGATGATGATATTTGTATTGTTGCTAAGAATTCATGCCAAGCATAATTTTGGGGCGTCGTGAAGATATCATATTTGCATATTTTAAGTATTGATATAATACAAAATTCTTTTTATGACTCTTTTCACAGCATAATAATGCTCTTCGCATTGTGTGACAGCCTTTAGCATAGAAAAATTCAAAAACAGAGGAAAATTATTTTTTAGAAAATGGATTTTTTTAAAATCTGATTTTCTTGTTCCCATGTTTGGAGCATCCCTTACTGCTCATGACCTGCTGCATATCATCCCGATAAAAACAGTAATTGCACAGAGATACAGGCACTTCACACAGCAATGCCTTAATCAAACAAATGGCTGCATTCGGAAGAAGTTTGATTTTTTTTTTCTTTCTGAAGCACAGCTATTTCCAGCCTTGCAGGCTTTATGTCCGCTGCCGCTGTAGACGGCCCCTGTGAATCTCCCTTTTTGTTCAGCTCCGTCCCTCGGCCCAGCCCTTCCCTGCTCCTTCAGCCTCGGCGCTGAGACTCGGTTTCTGCTCTCGCAGGCTCCACGCCCAGCCCGGGATGGAGAGCGCCGGGCCAGAGCCTACAGACCCCTTCCTCCCTCCCTGCCCGCTGCCCGGCTCCCGCCCCTCTTTCCCCCGGTCCTCAGCCCCCAGGGAAGGGCTCCCCGCCAGGCGGCCCCGGCCCTCCGGCGCTGCCCCGCCGCGCTTGGCCCGAGCAGGGGCGTGCGGGGCCGAGGGCCTCAGGTGCGCTCGGGATGTGCCAACGAGCGGCACGTGCTGCTGCGGGTCCGCAGGTATCACCGCGGCCTCCAAGTGCGGGAAACCGGAGCGGCGGGGTGGCGGAGGAGGAGGAGGAGGAAGGGCCGGGGCCTGGCGCTGCCCTGTCGG